TCACCAGCAGGGTCAGCTACAACATCTCATGCCTCCACTCTCTCCTCCACTCGCTTCCCACCATCACCAGCAGGGTCAGCTACAAGACCTCCTGACTCCACTCCCTCCTCCACTGGCTTCCCACCATCACCAGCAGGGTCAGCTACAAGACCTCCTGCCTCCACTCCCTCCTCCACTCGCTTCCCACCATCACCAGCAGGGTCAGCTACAACATCTCCTGCCTCCACTCCCTCCTCCACTGGCTTCCCACCATCACCAGCAGGGTCAGCTACAAGATCTCCTGCCTCCACTCCCTCCTCCACTGGCTTCCCTCCATCACCAGCAGTGCCAGCTACAACATCTCCTGCCTCCACTCTCTCCTCCACTGACTTCCCTCCATCATCAGCAGGGTCAGCTACAAGATCTCCTGCCTCCACTCCCTCCTCCACTGGCTTCACTCCATCACCAGCAGGGTCAGCTACAAGACCTCCTGCCTCCACTCCCTCCTCCACTGGCTTCGCACCATCACCAGCAGGGTCAGCTACAACATCTCCTGCCTCCACTCCCTCCTCCACTGGCTTTCCACCATCACCAGCAGGGTCAGCTACAACATCTCCTGCCTCCACTCCCTCCTCCACTGGCTTCCCACCATCACCAGCAGGGTCAGCTACAACATCTCCTGCCTCCACTCCCTCCTCCACTGGCTTCCCACCATCACCAGCAGGGTCAGCTACAAGATCTCCTGCCTCCACTCCCTCCTCCACTCGCTTCCCTCCATCACCAGCAGGGTCAGCCACAACATCTCCTGCCTCACTCCCTCCTCCACTGGTTTCTCACCATCACCAGCAGGGTCAGCTACAACATCTCCTGACTCCTCTCCCTCCTCCACTCGCTTCCCTCCATCACCAGCAGGGTCAGTTACATCATCTCCTGCCTCCACTCCCTCCTCCACTGGCTTCCCTCCATCACCATCAGGGTCAGCTACAAGACCTCCTGCCTCCACTCCCTCCCCCACTGGCTTCCCACCATCACCAGCAGGGTCAGCTACAACATCTCCTGCCTCCACTCCCTCCTCCACTGGCTTCCCTCCATCACCAGCAGGGTCAGCTACAAGACCTCCTGCCTCCACTCCCTCCTCCACTCGCTTCCCACCATCACCAGCAGGGTCAGCTACAACATCTCCTGCCTCCACTCCCTCCTCCACTGGCTTCCCTCCATCACCAGCAGGGTCAGCTACAAGACCTCCTGCCTCCACTCCCTCCTCCACTCGCTTCCCACCATCACCAGCAGGGTCAGCTACAACATCTCCTGCCTCCACTCCCTCCTCCACTGGCTTCCCTCCATCACCAGCAGGGTCAGCTACAAGACCTCCTGCCTCCACTCCCTCCTCCACTCGCTTCCCACCATCACCAGCAGGGTCAGCTACAACATCTCCTGCCTCCACTCCCTCCTCCACTGGCTTCCCTCCATCACCAGCAGGGTCAGCTACAAGACCTCCTGCCTCCACTCCCTCCTCCACTCGCTTCCCACCATCACCAGCAGGGTCAGCTACAAGATCATCGACTACGGCTGCACATTCACAGCAGCAGGGGCGTTCAACCAACACGAACACTTAAGTTCCACTTGAAGACCCCATCTCTATCTTAAAGGCCCCAACTCTACCTTAAAGTCATCGCCTCTATCTTGAAGGCTTCACTTCTATCTTAGAGGCCCCACTTCTATCTAAAAGACCACCTCTATTGTAAAGGCCTTATCTCTATATTAAAGGCCCTACTTATATCTTAAAGGCCCCACGTCTATCTAAAAGGCCAGCTCTAGTTTAAAGGCCTCACCTTTATCTTAAAGGCCAAACTTCTATCTTGAAGGCCCCCACTTCTCTTGCATGGCTTCCCGGCGACCCTGAGCTTGGCTCCGTGCCTCAAAGCCATGGTCAATTATGTCTACAGTGCAATATCGTGCGTGTTATGAATCCCATTACTGTATTATTATTATCATCTCGGGTGAATTGACAGGGGATTCACCAGATGACACTAAAACTACAACAGCAGCAGCTGTAACCAAATCTGTAAATGATGCCAAAATCCCTATGATCATCTGTAGGGGAGGGGGTGGGGAGTGTACGGGGGGGGGGGAGCAGCAGCGAGTGTTGGTGGATCATGGCACACAAATGTTGCGAAACTTCCTTCCCGTGGTTGGACGTCGAGGACTTAAAAAAAAACTCCCCAGTAGTGGTCTTCTTCGTGTCTCCGATCCAACCTGTGTAGTTTCTCCCCGCTATTCTGCACAGGCCACCGCTTCTGGTGTTGGCATTGCGGCGCTGCAGGGCATCTCATGATGTGATCCGTGGTGTGCTTCTCCTGACAAATACACATTGTTCGGTTGTGCAGAAGCCCCATGATTTCACGAGAGAGTTGCGTCTGTCCGAACCCACTCTTATTCTTCGTACATCAATAACTCTTGCATTCTTGGTTATTTCGGTAAAGTCACGTAGAAGGTAAATAATAAAATAATAAAAATAAAACATAATAAAATAATTCTCACGACGTTTCGGCCACAACGCAAGCAGCCGTCCTCAGGTGAAGAACAGGTCTGTCGGAAAGACAGCGTCTGAAAGACAGCGTCTGAATTCATTGAATTCATTCAGACGCTCACGACGTTTCGGCCACAACGCAAGCAGCCGTCCTCAGGTGAAGAACAGGTCTGTCGGAAAGACAGCGTCTGAAGACAGCGTCTGAATTCATTGAATTCATTCAGACGCTGTCTTTCCGACAGACCTGTTCTTCACCTGAGGACGGCTGCTTGCGTTGTGGCCGAAACGTCGTGAGAATTATTTTATTATGTTTTATTTTTATTATTTTATTATTTCCCTTCTACGTGACTTTACCGAAAGAACCAAGAAGATGAATCCCTGCAGTCACGAAAGCTTTAAATTCACTCTCATTCTGTTTCTGCTCCACCATGTGTGCCATTTGGGATTGGAGCCAGATACGAGCTACCAACTGGGAGCGATTTCTCGCCGGCTCCAATCAGCAGTTTTGTCACTCGATTTCTCCCAGAGGGAAGTTCACGCAGATTCCGTTGATGTGATCAGTGGTACAGTGGAGCACGAGAAGCTGTTTCTCGATGACAGACGACGGTGGTGCTGGTTGATGGCCACGTATAGCAGATCACGGACATCTGCCTCTATGATTTGCTGGTCGTGGTCATCTGCTACCCTCCTCCTGATGTTAGGGGGTGCTATGCCAGACAGTGCATATAGACAGGGAACAGAGGTGGCTCTCAGGCACCCTGATATGATTCCACACGTGTCATTTAGGGCGGTGTCGACATGTTTGCTGCGGGTTGAGTGTCCTCTAGTAGAAGTGCGACTATGGGTCATCCAGAATAGAGCGTGCGACGCATAACGACGCGATGCCCCCGATCCACCAATACGAAGTAGACATCGCAGTGATTAACACTCCGCTACTGAATTTCGATGTAAAGCTTTCGTGACTGCACGGGCATAAGTAGTACTAATCACATACCTGCATTTCCCATATCCCCTCCCTTTGCTGCTGCTAATCCTGCATAATGCACGGGCATAAGTAGTACTAATCACATACCTGCATTTGCCATATCCCCTCCCTTTGATGCTGCTAATCCTGCATAATGCACGGGCATAAGTAGTACTAATCACATACCTGCATTTCCCATATCCCCTCCCTTTGATGCTGCTAATCCTGCATAATGCACGGGCAAAAGTAGTACTAATCACATACCTGCATTTCCCATATCTCCTCCCTTTGATGCTGCTAATCCTGCATAATGCACGGGCAAAAGTAGTACTAATCACATACCTGCATTTCCCATATCCCCTCCCTTTGATGCTGCTAATCCTGCATAATGCACGGGCATAAGTAGTACTAATCACATACCTGCATTTCCCATACATATGCTAAATTCCTCTTGATATGCAAATTTCTTTGTCAAGGCGCTCTTCCCCCTCCAACCCAGCTTAAATATACGCTGCCAAGCCTGGTGGTGTTCATTCAGACGCTGTCTTTCTGACAGACCTGTTCTTCACCTGAGAACGGCTGCTTGCGTTGTGGCCGAAACGTCGTGAGAATTATTTTATTATGTTTTATTTTTATTATTTTATTATTTCCATTCTACGTGACTTTACCGAAAGAACCAAGAAGATGACTCCGCTACTGCTTCTGATGCGGTTATCTGGGCTTGACTCACCACCTGAATGTGAAACTTTAATTCGTTGCTCACCATCGACATCTTCTTCATCATCATCAAGCCGTACAACAACAAGAAGAATGAGCCAAGGAGCTGCTGTACCCTGGCCCTGCCAGGAGAAGGCGGTACAGCGAACGTGTGGACCGCACCCGTGCCGCCGGTAATCTCCGGGTGCTTCGGTGTCCTCCCACAAGCGAGAACACCTTAATATATAGAGGACCGCAGAGCTTGAGAAATTGTTGGCGCCGTTTCATTGCGTAGCTGCTGCTGCTGCCTTGCCGCTCATCTGCAGAGTCGATCTCCTGGACATCTGTGAAAAAGATCTTCATAGCTCATCGGATTTCTCCGGAGATAAATAAAGATCTTGACCTCTCTCTCTCTCTGTCTACGCGAGGGAGCGAATTCGCGCGCGACGGCGCATTTACACGTTTAGATGATTAAATTATAGTCATCATAACCGTGCGAAGGAAGGCCTTCGTCCAGCAGTGGATAAGATCACGGCTGATGGTAATGGTAAACGCTCAACGGAATGAGTAACGATGATACGATTTGATGTTGTCGATTCACCACACCCTCACCCCCCCCCCCCCCCCCACGTGTCTATGACGTCTAAAATACTGTGACGTTCGTCGATTGACTGCACTGTTGTGCACATTTTCTAGCGACCTTTGGAATTTCTACATTTCAATTGAAACAATAAAAAGAAACGGAGGGCGGTGACGAAGAAATGTTATCCGCCTCGCCTGGTACGCAGGAGACCCTGTTTGGGGTCCCCGTGTTTTCGGTCCCCGTGGTAGATCGTGCTCCAGGTTTTTCCGGGGGTTCTCCCCATCGACATTGAGAACCAACGCGCGTTTTAGATTGATGTGGCTTCAACGATAAATTCACGCGCGTGATGATGATGATGACGACAATGGATATTATGATGACATCAGCCTCTGAAAAAAATAAAAGAGCTAATGGCTCAGTGGGCTTCACCTGGTAAACGAAAGAGTTGATGACTTCGTTCAGTTTATATTGTACGAAAACAGTTCGCACACAAGGCTCATTCAATATCCCAATATACACGTAGGGCCTATCGAATGTCGCTTCCGACGGCTGTCACGTGTAAGATATACCTTGTTTATGTTGACAGGACCATCGCGGTCACTTACAGACGCGCGAAAGGAAATCCGCGGCAGCGCCCCTTTTGAGTCATCCGTGGCAGTCAGCTTGGCACAACATCGATAGAGACAGCACAAATGTGTGATACAGACCATCTCAGTCACTTAAAGACGCGTGGAAGGAAATCCGCGGCAACAACCCCCCCCCCCCATTTTTTTAGTCATCCGTGGCAGCCACCTTGACACACATCGATAGAGACGGCACGAAATGTGTGATAAATGATTTGTTTTCTGAGATGGCATTCATGTATGTGTAACCTAAATAGGGCTGTTGGAGAAAGTACTGTTTGCGAGAACTTACTAAACAAAAAAAATATCTAAATGTTTATTTCACCAGGTAAGGTCCACTGAGCTAATGCGGCTCTTTTTCAGAAGCGACCTGGCCGCAAATGATAGCTCAACGTAGTGGCTTATGATGTGGAAATTTATATCAGCCAAATAGACTAAACGCACGTTTCTAAATGTGGAGGGGAAAAAACGGAAAAACAGGAGATAAATCCACGCAACCACGGGGAGAGAGACACGCAGACTCCAAATATACAGCAGCAGGCGTCAGGGTCGGGATCAAACCCACGACCTCCTGTATACCAGGCGAGGTAGTTAACATCTCCTAGCCACCGTGATGATGATGATAGAGAGAGAGAGACACGCAAACTCCAAATATACAGCAGCAGGCGTCAAGGTCGGGATCAAACCCACGACCTCCTGTATACCAGGCGAGGTAGTTAACATCTCCTAGCCACCGTGATGATGATGATGATGATAGAGAGAGAGAGACACGCAAACTCCAAATATACAGCAGCAGGCGTCATGGTCGGGATCGAACCCACACCCTCCTGCATACCAGGCCAGGTAGATAACATCTCCTAGCTACTGTGATGATGATGAGAGAGAGAGAGACACGCAAACTCCAAATATACAGCAGCAGGTGTTAGGGTCGGAATCGAACCCACGACCTCCTGCATACCAGGCGAGGGAGTTAACATCTCCTAGGCACCGCGGCACACCGCACATGACGAGAACCACGCGCGTCCGCCTTTGTCTCTCTCTTTCTCCCCAGTGCTGATGCTTACTCGGCGCATCAGGTAGACTCACTTAAGGCTGAGTCGACCTATGCCAGGTCCTGAACCGACCGGTTCAAATATTCGTCGTCGTGGTGAGCGTGAATCGATCTCGGGGTGACCAGCGGAGTTTGTGGCGGACAGAGCGATAACCACTGTGCCACCGCTCGCCGCACCTCTGAGAAATGCGTGCGCTTGTTCGAGTTGCGTAACGTCCTGCTACCCGAATGAGTCAGACGACAACTCTGGAGGTGATCACTTACCTTGGTATGCGTGGGGGTTAGTGACGCGACGACGCGTTTGCGCGTTACAACTTAGAGGGTTACGTGCTAATTTTAGCCCGCTGCACGATGTATGTGGTGCGTGAGCCTGGTGACTTTAAGGCGTGTGTGTGTGCGAGTAGGGTTTGTGTAGCACAAGGTCGTAATTATAATCTATATTGGGGGGAACACATCCTCCCCAATATTCAAATATTCTCAAAATGTTCCCCCCCAAAATATTTTGATAAAAAAATAACTGCTATGCTATGTAAATAAAAAGAACAATTTGCTAAAACTTTGGCCACAATATCTGGACTTGTCTTCATATAAATCAAAGCATAGATTTCTGTTAATATGATTGTGGTTATGGTTGTACTTACCGAATCTCTGCCATTACATACAATGAAACAAGAAATGGTAAAAAAAAGTTATAACAGAGCAATGTAATACAATACACGATTAGACATTATTCTAAAAAATAAAAAAAATAGTCCATCCCATGTGTTAGTGAATTTTTAAATATTTTAGGCAGGAAATTAGTTTTAAAATTTAGATCTTTTTTCTGGGTTGGGACTCCTAGACACCCTGGAAGATTTGGTCCCCCCCAATGTTGACTCAATGGCTACGGCCTTGGTGTAGAGGTTAACTCGGTCTCAAATGAGTACCTGGTGCGGTGTGTAAACCATCGCCAGGAGGGAGACAAAGGCAAGCCAGGCGTGGTGTTGGCCACCCACCCCCTCGTGTGCCGTGTCGGCCTTCATAGGTGCTGCTCGCTACTCACAGCACTTGCCCCTACAGTATCTTAAGGCTATACGGGGGGGGGGGTCTTTGTCTTTGTTGTAGCGGTTAGCGCGCTGCGCTACGAACCCAACCAGCCGAGTTCGATCCCGCTCACGGCCATCAACACAATTGACGATTATCTTAACCGGTCCTGGGCCTCCCCACTAGGTCGACTCAGCCTCAAATGAGTACCTGGTGCAGTGTGTAGAACATCGCCACTGGGGAGACAAAGGTGGCATGGTGTGGTGCTGGCCGATCCACCCCTTCGTGTGCCGTGCCGACCTTCACAGGTGCTGCTGCTCGCGAACAGTACTTGCCCGGACAGTCTGTTAAGGCTTTACGGGGGATCTTTGTCTTTAGCTTTGTGTTAGGTTCTGGGCCAACACCAGTGACGATGATCTCAACCGGTGCTGGGCTTCCCCTAGGTCGACTCAGTCTCAAATGAGTACCTGGTGCGGTGTGTAAAACATCGCCACTGGGGAGACAAAGGCGGTCGGGCGTGGTGCTGGCCACCCATCTCATCGTGTGCCGTGCCGGCTTTCATAGGTGCTGCTACTCGCTAACAGCACTTGCCCCTAAAGTCTGCCAGTCAACTCAGTCGACCCACAACACTTGGGTCTGTCCCGTGACCTCCTGCCAGCGAGCCTTCGACCACTTCACGTGTTAAGCCGTCAAGGTGCACCTAGCCTGGCACAAGCATCGCCGTGGTGTTGTACGTGCGGTGCGAAAGAAGTTCAACATGCGCGCTTCCCGCGATGTGTGAATCCACCCAGCCGTGCAGCAGCCTGCACGTGAAGCCGGTGTCACGATCGCTCCATCTCCACACAGTGCACCCCTGCCGCTCCACGCCCGGACGCTTTGGGATTGTTGTCACGTCGGGTTTATAAATAAATAATTAAATACATTCTGTCGCCCTGGTAACGCGACGCGCAGGTGAAGCGGATCACGTGCCCAGGTGTGTGGACAGCGAGGGTGGGGCGAGGGGGTTTCGAGATCTCTGAGTCGCTCACTCGCCCGCTAACGTGAGCTGCGGCCAGGAATCGAACTCGGAGGAGCGGAAGCGCAGTGCGGCAACCACGATTGCAGTAGGGCAAATTCAGTATCGCAAATTCAGTAGGGCAAATTCAGTAGGGCAAATACAGTAGATAAAATTCAGTAGGACAAATGCAACAGGGCAAATTCAGTAGGGCAAATTCAGTAGATACAATTCAGTAGGACAAATACAACAGGGCAAATTCAGTAGGGCAAATTCAGTAGATACAATTCAGTAGGGCAAATGTAACAGGGCAAATTCAGTAGGGCAAATGCAGTAGAGCAAATTCAGTAGGGCAAATGTAATAGGGCAAATGCAATAGGGCAAATGTAATAGAGCAAATGTAGTAGAGCAAATTCATTAGGGTAAATGTAATAGGGCAAATGCAGTATTGCAAATTCAGTAGATAAAATTCAGTAGGGCAAATGCAGTAGAGCAAATGCAATAGGGCAAATCCAGTAGAGCAATTGCAGAACAAAGGAGAGGAAGATCCCCCGTATGTGCATATATCTAGCTCAGCTGTACTATTAAGATGTATTAGTGAGCACCTTTAAAGGTCAACACAGCGCACCACCGCACAAGCAAGTGTATAGATAGCACGTGTAACAGCGCAAGAAAAAGATCCCCCGGCATAGCTTTTAACAGACTGTTGGGGAAAGTGATGTTAGCACCTATGAAGGCCGGCTCAGCACACGAGTGGATGAGTGGCCAGCACCACGCCCGGCCGCCTTTGTCTCCCTCGCGGCGACGTTTAGGACATCACAACAGGTCTTCATTTGAGGCTGAGTCGACCTAGGGGAGGCCCACGGCCGGTTCAGATAATCGTCACTGGGTGTTGGCCGGGAGCGGGAATCGAACTCTGGACGTTGGGTTCGTAGCGCAGTGCGCTAACCACTGCGCCACCGCTCCCCACACTCACGCACACTCGGACGATAAACACGCGCAGTTGCTACTCAATTAACATCCAAAGGAAATAAGCACGGTACACACAAAACAGAGACAAAGATCCCCTATATGGCCTCAAAAGACTGTTGGCGCAAGTGCTGTTAGCGAGCACCTGTGAAGGTTGGCACGGCACACGAGGGGGTGGGTGGCCAGCGCCACGCCCGGCCGCCTTTGTCTCCCCAGTGGCGATGTCGGATAAAGATTTTGTAGGCCCCTGGGCTACAGGTACTGTGAGCACCCCCTCCCAGTAATATGTTCAAAAGGAAAACTAAGTTAAAGAAAACTAAAATGTATTTTTTACAAGTCTAACAACAAATAAAATTTAGCATTCACAACTGAAATAACTGTTCACTTCATCTCTGAAGGCCCTCCAGCTGATGGAGGCCCTTGGGCTGCAGCCCCTAAAGGCCCCACGCCTTAATCCGGCCCTGCTTACCAGGTACTCATTTGAGGCTGAGTCGACCTAGGGGAGGCGCACGACCGGTTCAGATAATCGTCACTGGGTGTTGGCCGTGAACGGGAATCGAACTTGTATTCGTAGCGCACACAGGCACACACACAGACACAGAGAACATATAACACACACAAACACAGCAAAGATATCCGCACACACAACAAACAACCTGGACCGACTACACTCCAATCTACCCTCAAACAAAACGCAAACACACACGTCAACCCACTCAAGTGCAAAGGAGTAAAATACCTGTACAAACACAACAAAGATAAAGTTCCCCCGTGTAGCTGTTCAGACTTTTGGGGCATGTGCCTGTAGCGAGCACATACCACAGACAAACAAAGAGAAAGATCCCCCGTATAGCCTTAACATACTCGTGGGGCAAGTGCTGTTAGCGAGCGTCTATGAAGGCCGGAACTGGTGTGGCCAGAACCACGCCCGGCCGCCTTTGTCTCCCCAGTGGCGATGTTTACACACCGCACCAGGTACTCATTAAGGCTGAGTCGACCTAGGGGAGGCTCAGGTACCGATTTCGGATAATCGTCACCGGTGTTGGCCAGTGAGCGGGAATCGAACTCGGGTCGCCGGGTTCGTAGCGCAGCGCTAACCGCTACGCCACCGCTCTCCACACAAATCACACCCTTACACACACACAGAAGCACACACACACACACTCAAAACACACACACACAACACACACACGCTCCACAGTGGGCGGTCCTCCGTGACCCCCTCCTTCTCCCCCTATAAAAGCTCTGAACCCAGCCAGAGCCACAAATACAAAGGCGATAAGTTGGCTGCTGGTGCTGCGTTATACCACGTAGAGGGAGGGACACCAAACCCAGACCCCAGCAACCAACCAAGGACGTGGGTGGACAGGTAGACAGGTAGACAGGTGGGTGGATACGCAGGTGGGGCCATCGGCGAGGTAGGTTATCAGTGGGGCAGGTAGGTGGGCGATAATTTGAGGAGGGAAAGGTACGAGTTGGTGGTGGTGGTGGTGGGGGGAGGCGCGGTGTTTTTGGTCGGTGCCGAGCGAAGAGGCGAGGTTTGAGCGGATAAATCCGGCATGATCGAGACCCAGGCGAGTGACTGCGTGAATGAGAAGATGGAGGAGGAGGTGGCGGGGGAGGAGGACGAGGAGGATGAAGAGGGCGTTGGCTTGAGAAAGGTGAGTGCGCGGATCGGTGGGTGGGTGGGTGGGCGAGTGAATACCTGGATGGTTTAATGAGCGAGCGAATACATGGATGGATTAGTGAGCGAGCGAATACATGGATGGATTAATGAGCGAGTGAATACATGGATGGTTTAATGAGCGAGTGAATACATGGATGGATTAGTGAGCGAGTGAATACATGGATGGTTTAGTGAGCGAGCGAATACATGGATGGTTTAAAGAGCGAGTGAATACATGGATGGATTAATGAGCGAGCGAATACATGGATGGTTTAATGAGCGAGTGAATACATGGATGGTTTAGTGAGCGAGTGAATACATGGATGGTTTAATGAGCGAGTGCATACATGGATGGTTTAATGAGCGAGTGAATACATGGATGGTTTAATGAGCGAGCGAATACATGGATGGTTTAGTGAGCGAGTGAATACATGGATGGATTGATGAGTGGGTGCATTGATGGGCGAGTGGGTGAGTGGGTGAATGTATGGGTGAGTGTGTGCACTGGTGGGAGAGTGAGTAAACGGGTAAACGTTTGAATGAATTCGGGGAAAGCTAGCTTGCTGAGTTGACATGCGAGTGGGTGCAAGGCCGTAGCCATGGAGTCAATATTGGGGGGGGGGGGGCAAATCTTCCAGGCGGTCTGGGGGTCCCCCCCCCAGAAAAAAAATCAAAATTGAAAACTAATTTCCTGCCTAAAATCTTAAAAAATTCGCTAACACATGGGATGGACTTTTTTTTTACAATAATGTCTAATAGTGTATTGTATTACCTTGCTCTGTTTTTTTTTACCTTTTCTTGTTTCATTGTATGTAATGGCAGAGATTAGGGATTAATAAAGTAGAACTATAACCACAATAATATGAACAGAAATCTATGCATTGTTATTATATGAAGACAAGTCCAAGTATTGTGGCCAAGGTTTAGCAAATTGTTGTTTCTATTTACATAGCATAGCAATTAGTATTGTTTAAAATATTTTTAATAGCAATATATATTGGGGGAGGGGGTGTCCCCCCCCCAATATATATTATAATTACGGCCTTTGGTGAATGAACGCGTGGAAGAATCCCTAAACGCACAATTGGGTGAACGAGTCACGCGGGAGTGAATTTATTTTAGAATCGGTGACCAAATCCTTCATCGATATTTTCGTAATTAACCGCGGACTTGTTCGCCGTGACGCCACTGACTCATCACAGTCCAGAGGTGTTCGTGATTTGCATAGGAACCTCGACACTAAACTTTAAACTATAAAAAACAAATGTTATACCAGGTGAGGCCCACTGAGCTATGAGGCTGTTTTTTTTTCTCTCTCTCTCATCATCACCGTGATGATGATGAGAGAGAGACGCGCAAACTTCAAATATACAGCAGCAGGCGTCGGGGTCGGGATCGAACCCACGACCTTCTGCATACCAGGCGAGGTAGTTAACATCTCCTAGCCACCGTGATAATGATGATGAGAGAGAGAGACACGCAAACTCCAAATATACAGCAGCAGGTGTCAGGGTCGGGATCGAACCCACTACCTCCTGTATACCAGGCGAGGTAGCTAACATCTCGCCACCGTGAATGATTATGAGAGAGACACGCAAACTTCAAATATACAGCAGCAGGTGTCAGGGTCGGGATCGAACCCACGACCTTCTGCATACCAGGCGAGGTAGTTAACATCTCCGAGCCACCGTGGCGCCCCGAACACTGTGAACTCATAACCCACAATTGCACGAGCACGTGGACTTTAACCTGCCAATTGGATTTGTAGGGTTCGTCGTCGTCGTCGTCGGCCAGAAATCAACAATCCAAGTCGCACGCACATTTGTAAGAGCCCACATTAGGCATCGACAACAGTGGGGGGTGGGGCAAGCTACGGAGTGCGCAGGCGGTGCAACTGCGCGGGGAGTACTCACGGGCCAAATGGGTACCCGGTGCGGTGGTGTGTAAACATGGCCACTGGGGGGAGAGACAAAGGCGGCCGGGCGTGGTTGCTGACCACCTCCCCCGCTCGTGTGCCGTGCCGGCCTTCACGAGGTGCTCGCAAACAGCACTTGCCGTCTTCGTTATCACCCACCTCCAATTAGCACGGTTGGGGCTACGTACGGTGTGAAAGAAATGTAACACACAGTACAGTGCTGTACATACACACCCGTGATGAGGAGCGGTGGGGGAGCGGTTAGCGTTGTTGCGCTACGAACCCGACTCGAGTCCGATTTCCAACTCACCAGTGACGCTTATCTGTACCGGTCCTGGGCCACCTCCTAGGTCGACTCGGCCTCAAATGGAGTACCTGGTGCGGTGTGTAAACATCGGCACTCGGGAGACAAAGGCGGCCGGGCGTGGCGCCGGCCACCCCGACCACCCGCGGCCTTAATAGGTGCTCGCTAACAACACTTGCCCCCAAAAGTCTGCCGAGGCTATACAGGGGTGGGTCTTTGTCATTACCCAATTGGCTTGTATCCCAACATTCTTCAGGCTGACATTTGTCGAGGATGGCAGCTGCCGCCTCGTCGGGGACGATCCTGGGGCAAGGACAGGACGGGTGGCAACCCCCTAAACGCTGGCGGCCGTGGTGGTTTTTACTACTACGACGGAGGAGGAGGAAAAGGGGAATTTGATGGAGGGGGGGGGAGGGTTGGGACCGTCTCGCATTTCGTTCCAACCGCGCGCCCCGAGTGAGAATGGTCGTGCATCGAAAGTCACGACAAGCGGCGTTCTGGCGATGGAGCGGAGAAAAGGCCAACAAGGCGAACGGCACAGAGGCGATGCAAGCGTCAGAGTAGTAATATCTCGGATTGAACGGTTGTATCTACGGGATATTTTTACAGGTATCAAAATTGTGAAAATATAACAATTAATGCAACTGACGTGCTTGTGTCCGGGGATTGAATTCCTTTCCAGCCTGGACCCTGCTTGCTTGCCCATCGCCACGTAAATAACCTCCTCGTTAAATTTCGATTTAAAGCTTTCGTGACTGCAGGGATTCATCTTCTTGGTTCTTTCGGTAAAGTCACGTAGAATGGGAATAATAAAATAATAAAAATAAAACATAATAAAATACAAATCTCACGACGTTTCCGCCACAACGCAAGCAGCCGTCCTCAGGTGAAGAACAGGTCTGTCGGAAAAACAGCGTCTGAATGAATTCAATGAATTCAGAAGCGGTTATCTGGACAGCGTCTGAAAGACCTGTTCTTCACCCGAGGACGGCTGCTTGCGTTGTGGCCGAAACGTCGTGAGAATTATTTTAATATGTTTTATTTTTATTATTTTATTATTTCCCTTCTACGTGACTTTACCGAAAGAACCAAGAAGATGAACCTCATCGTTGTAACAGCTCTCTCGCTGGTTCAGCAGTCCCATTGCGATCGAAACGTCGTGATATATTAATTTTTATTTTATTTGTCTACCTACGTGACTTTACCGAAAGAACCAAAGAGTAGAACAATAGGCGTTACCCTTTCCGGAAATATATAAAAAAAAACAGGAGGTTTTAAGATGTTCAATCACCAAATCGATAGCTTGTTACAAGACACTTATTATTGGAGCACGTTTGTTTGCGTGTCTCGCCACAAGTATGTGTGGTTACTGCAGACGTGATGCCTCGTAATAGGTGTCTGTTTGGAGTTCGAACATCTTATCACCTGTTTTATTACCAGAAAGGGTAAACGCCTGTTATTGTTTTCATCATTTTGATACTGGCAAAAAGGTCCCATAGATGATATGTCTAAAGTCAGCACGAGCCTCCCGTAAACCACGTGGCTTCTGTGCCCCCCCCCCACTCCCCGCCCCCTTTGAAAACAGACTCCGCTCCGTGCATCAAGCGTCGAGGCCCTGGTGTAGCCTCTTCCTCCTCCCCTCTCCTCATCTCTCCTGGACCCCTTCGCTCCCATTGATCAAATCCCTATCCCTTCTCCTCCGCCTTCCCGTTCCGTTGCCCCGCGCGTTACATACTCCTCTCTCTTTAATCGCCTTCCCCCCGCGATGTGGCCGCTAGCTAAAGATCTGCCGCCGTAGAACTCTGCCCTGGCCTCCGTGTTAAAGTCCAAAACGCGAGCGTCTCTCTAAATCTGGCGGTACACTAGACGCACGCGCGAGATTTTTTTACGAGCAGTCGCCGTCGTAACACCACCCCCCCCATCGTTTACGGCCCCCCTCGAGCCCAAGGCCATCTAAAAGCCGAGGTGGCGGCGGGGTGGGGAAGCTAAAATAAAATTCGTCGTCGTCGCGTGAGTTTGGATTTGTGGCCTGGAGGGGGTGGATGGTGGTGACCGAGGGCGACTCGTTTCGTGGTTGCGACCTCGCGCTTTGTTCTCGCCGTCGTCGTTTTTTTACTTTTCCGTTTTTATGGGGTGCCATTTTCTTAATTTGTTAGCTATCTTGACTGAAAGCTTTCGTGACCGCGGGAATTCGGATTCTTTTGGTCTTTCGGTCAAGCCACGTAGATAGAACACAATCGTCTTCAGGTGAAGGGGGGCGCGGGAGGGGGACCGGCCTCGAATCGCCACTTGGGTCCCATCAGCAGAGTCGGGCGGCGCCCCGGAGGATCGATTTGGCGGCGAGCTGCTCGGCCGATACCAACGGCAGGGACCCTTCCTCCGTAAGACACGGGGAGCGGCGGGGGGGGGGTCCCACCAGTTTGACGCAATCCCCCCCCCCCCGAACTCCCCTCCCCAAACCCCTCCCCCCAGACCCCCTGCCCCATGCAATCGTCGTCGGAGTTGTTGTTGGAAACAGAGTTTACTTTGGGGGCTAGGTCGTGTAAGTATATAAACGTGGCGGGTTGACACGGCCAATCGGTAAGATTTCGTCACGTTAACAAAAACGCGTGCTAATGGCTTGCTAGTTGAGCACACGCCGTTGTGTGTTGGAGAGAGAACCCACCCAACATGTAACAATTGGAGCACGACGTTTTCGCCGGTAATTGCGACCGGCCTCATCAGGCGACGGCCAGAAATCCTACCTCTGTTTCTGTCTTCAATAGAGGGGGCGAGG